ATTTTTCAATTTTATTGATGTAGTTGTTGGTTAGAAGAGTGAGATCTGACCAACATTGTAGGCCAATGACGATGTGTTGGTCTTTGCACAGTTAAAAGCCTGTAGCGTTAGGCTCCAAGCATCCAACAGGAAATACTTCATTCAGATGTTTTTTTTCAAGAGAGACTCCGCAAAGGTCTCTAATAATGGTGGCAATTTGGGTTGGGGGAGGTTTGTTTTTGTTGTTGTTGCAGCAATATCGCAACTAACCACTGGAACAATCTGGTAACAAACTGGGGAGTCGTGGCACCTTAAACAATGCTTGCATTTAGAATTTATTTTTTAGACTTTATAATGTTTGTTTTTGGCAGTGCGTAGCACTCAAAGACAGGAAATGTGGGGAGACAGCAGGGAAATGACATACAGTAAATGTCTGCAAGCTGTGAACCAGGCACTTTTAGATAAATACAATAGATATTTTACTATTTACATTATGTATTTGTTTCCATACTTGTCTCCTATCTGCTCTGTGTAAACACAGCCTGCACTTCAGCCAAAAAGTCCCAGAGTTTTGGTTATGTGACTATTGCAGCTGAGTCAGTCATGGCTTCACGGTTGCATTACAGAGCACAGAGTTAGTAGTTTAATACAGAGAGTGGTTACTGCAAACAGTTGATTTTTGGTGAATTACAAAATAGGACATGTAGAAAAAGTGCTTTTGATGAAATGTCACGATTTTAAGAGTAGTTGTGTTGAATTTTTTCCAACGTCACAGAAGATTAGTTCAAGGACTTTCAAGGGAAACTGAAAATCTGTTGATCCTTACTGATTTTTGTAGTTTTTGGCTCTCAAGAATGGTGTAATTTTTCAGATTTTATTTAATGAAAAGATGCCTTTCAAACCTGCTGTGGGATATCTGGGTTTAGAGGGTTAATGTATTCATAGAATGTCACCATTGAAAAGTTGAAAAATGGATGACTTTTTTCTGTTTTTAAAGTTTCTGGCTCTGATAAATGAAGTAATTTTGGCAATATTTTAAAGATAGCAACCTTTTCAAACCCACAGGCTGATCTGGGGGTTCGGAGGGTTAATACATCCATAGTGTCCACTGGAGAGAAGCATCAAATGTGAAAAAAAAAAAATGTCTAAGAAACATAAAAATGGAAATCAGTCTCACCCCAGTGTCAGCAAACCACACACACACACACACATTTTTTGTTAAGCAGATGTGAAAGATTTGAATTTATCAATGCTAATGGACAAGAACCGTGACAAGATGGGTAATGTTAAGTGCCCTTAATTTATTTTCCCAACGTCTACCAGAACATAACAGCCCTGTGCTGAAAAGAACATTCTGGACCTCAAGGAAAAACAGAGAAAACTTCCCAACATGAGCCAAACTTGCTTGGCACCCGACTTTCTGCAAGCCTCTGCGATCTGAGGTTACCCATAACACCCTGCAGTTCAGCGGAATAAACACAGTTTGTCCGATAACTCCAGCAAAAGTGCCACCAAACTGAGAGTTATCTGGTTAGTGCACTGCAGATAAAAGCCTTAGTCATGCAGCCCGATACACTATGCATCATTCATCGGCAATAACTGGGTATTAAATGTGGCTTAAATCGGGTCGGTGTCAGCAGTCGTGCGACCTTACTCTGAGTCATAAGAGTCGAACAGATGCATCGGTATTAATTACAGCTCAGTGGGAGTTTAAAGTCCTTCCCACCTGTTGTTCCTCAGACTCCACGCCTCACACACGGCCACCACACATTTCTGCAAGACCACCAGCTTAAAACTGGCCTCTCATTAACACTGCACACTCCCCCCCTCCCACCCACCTCCCTGCCAGAGCTAATTGGGTCACTATTTACCCCACAGTCAGCACAAGCTCACGCAGAGGGGAGGGGGGAAGTCTAAGACCACCACCATGCTGTCTTAGCATATGCCCCGGCTTGCTGCAGGCAGCGAGATTAGAACAAAAACAGGCACTTATTAATACTGTTAGTCACTCAGTGCCTGCAGGTGAATCATCCCTTCCACTGTAATCTGCAGCAGCACACAAAGCTAAATTTTATTATCAACAATTTAAAAGAGGCCACATGACAGCATTATATCTTCCCCCCCTGCTTGGATATCTGCATTAGTCGCTTATGGCTCCTAATATACAGTATATCTGAGGAGGCTGTCCTCTATTTTTGGACACGAGCTACAGATGAGGTCAGCCAGCCATGAGCACTTACACACACACACACACACACACACACACATACACACACTGCCAGTAAGGAAGCCTCAATATGGCGGAAGATAAGGCCACGCTCAAATTGCTGTTTTGTGTTTTTTAACAAGGACAATTCGACCTTGCTAATCTGTTATGCTCCTTCGCCTAATCAACCCAATGACTAATCCATTTCCTCGCGCCAAGTAGAGTCGCGGTTCAGCCCAGGGCCGAGCCACGCTGGCACGATTAGGAGGGAAGACAATGGCACGTGTCCTGGACCGAGGAGGAAAAATAATAGACGCGAGCTCCTAGCGGGAGCTTTTTTACTTCACTGCACTTTCACCGACATACGAGGAAGCTCACACTCTCCCCCCCCGACTTTTGCAGCCGGACAACACGCCTACAAACAAAAACAAAACTATACACGCGCGCTGTCGTGATCTCGACGCTGCACGTTGAGAGGCGGCTCTCGGGTGATGTGATGGCAATCTAGCTGCCGCAGAGAAGTTCTGTGCAGGTCAGTGGCTGTGTTGGCTTTGCTGGTTTTTATAAAATTGAACATGGCTGTCCAAACACAACTACTCAGTGGTGCTTTATTATCTGTGTTACCTGTAAAAATCCCAACATTTCACTGGCTGCAGTTGCTCAAATATGAGGATTCGATCCTCTTGCCAGACAAGATATGAGAAGACGTCACCTTGGACTCGGGGGGAAAATGTAATAATAGACATTTTATACGCAAATTGACTAAGAGAAAAAATAATTGGCAGACGTTCAATGATGGCAAACAATCATTAGTTGCAGCTCTGTCTTGCTGTGCTTCCTCTGTGGTTGTCTGCTGAATTTATTTATAGCCTACTTATGTCGACTTGCTCACATTTACCATTAATGTGGCTACTTGCATGCAGGTATGAAAATGCCTCTTCCAGTTGGTATATTTCTATGTTTACTTTCAACCAAACTTGTTCAAGGATTTCTGTTTTTCAGAAAGCCTGAAGGTGCTTTAAAGCCTTGCTTCGATGTGCACTGTTTTGTACAACTCCCTGTTTCCCCCGAATCTCTACATCAGAGGTGGAAGGTACAAATTTAGCTCAATAGTAATTACAGCAGGTTGAAGTTAATTTAGAACCATCCTTTGATCATGCCAGCAAACTGCAGGTAAATTTCCTTCGAGTATCTTTAGTAATGCAGACATGAAGGTCAAGCAGAAACAGTGGGAGAAGTTTAAAGGGAAAAGAACTGGACTACTTGTAATTTCTTCTTTTTTTGGGAAATTCAGGCAAGAAACATGCAGCTCAGTTCATGAAGCACAACCCTTCAGTTCTCCAACAAAATCCTTTTCAGTAATACAACAGTCCCTCTCCTCTCCTGACTGGCACTGATCTTGTGTCTCTCAAACCTGTGCAGCAGAGGTGATGAGTTGAATTAGTGATGCATCGATTCAGCTTCTTCACTCCAGATATGGATTCCTCATTTTTACTTCAGCAACAATACCACACTGTAATAATACTCAAGTACACGCAAAAGTACTCAGTGAGGAAAAAAAGTTCCTTTCAGTTACACATATAATCAAATATTACATTATTAGTAGTCGGACACGCATGTAAAAGCAGGATTTCACTGCTGCAGCTGGTCGAGTTGTGTCTCACTTTGAACTATGTTTTGCTTGGGGCTGTGACTAATAGGTTTTTCCTATTTAGGATTAATACGCTGATTATTTTCTCCATAAATGAATTGTTTGGTTTGCAAATAATTGTTTTTAAAAAGCAGTTAGAAAACACTAAGATACCTTCTCCATGTTTGTTTTGCCCCAGCAATTGTCCAAACTACAGAATCACTGGGAATAAATTAAAATAATTGAATACTTCCAACAACAACAAAGAAAAGGCAGTATGTTCTCGCATTTGAAGAGCAGGGAACATAAGATATTTGGAATTTTAGAGTGAAAAAGGATAATCAAAACAATCAACTAATTGAATCAATGTGTCTGTAACAAATCATATTTTATAAACTCTCTCTACGTACTGCATTACTCCACTGTTAGCTATATCCCAAATTTGAAATATACGGCCAAATATTCATTACAATCACTTTTAAATCACGTAACGGGAAGTCAGGGATGCTGAGTCTTTGAAAAACTCCAACTGATTGAATATCAATAGGAGCAAAAGATGCTTGATTTCATGACGCCAACAAAAAAATATCTATTCCTTAATGAGAAACAGTCACGCCATGCCAGATAGTCCATTTACTCTCCGCAACCGTGGGATCAGAAAAGAGACCCAGAGGAAATAAAATACTCGAATTTACCCCTCTTTTCTATTGGAATCATATTAATGATTAATTATATTGCCACATAGTCAATGTTTGCTACAGTGGTCAGCAACAAAATTAGTACATTTACTGAGTTGACTCTTTTGAAAGTGTAATTAAACATCGAACACACACACACACACACACACACACACACACACACACACACTGGCAGACTAGAAGACAAAATGCATCATTGTCACCACTGTAGCCTAAAAATAGCACCAAATCCACAGGCCATTACTTTTTACTGAATTTATCTCCTCTTGCACCACCATCTTTTTCGGAGGTTGCTTCCCCCCAGTCTGGTTGTTTCATGTCATTATTTTTAAGCACAGCCAACTCTCCAGCGGACCTCCATAAAGCTGCCAGACGGCTGCGAAAAGATCTGGGACACAACTGAGAAAGCATTTGTATACACACATCAAGACAGAGTGCAAAAAAGGAACACGCTCACACTTTTAGGACAGTGATCAATAAGCCTTACTGGCAACTTCCAGCGAAGCGTTGCGGCTAATGGCCTCCCCCAGGTAGTTGCGGGCCACACAGGTGTAGACGCCCTCATCCGGTTTGCTCCGCCGCCCGTGCACGATGCGCAGGAAGAAGAGGGAGCCGCTGGGCAGGAGCATCCGGTGAGAACGGGGATCGTCCTTGTCGGTCTCCACGCGTTCGCCATCTTTGTACCACTCGATCCCAGGAGTGGGTCGGCCCTCTGCCTTGCAGTTGAGGGTGGCAGGCTCCCCCTTGGAGACGATCAAATCCGAGGGGTCCTCCACAATCCGGGGTGCGCTGTCTTCAAACCGAGCCCGAGAACCTGTGAGGCAGAGATGAAGGGATTGACGGATCATCAGCTTGGCCGATTTTTGGCATTGTTGATCAAATAAATGTGCTACTTCAGGTCTGATTCAGCCACTACTCTCTGTCTGTTGTGATCTCTAACATATCTCTCAAATGGAGACTGCAAAAACTGAAGAAGAAACACCAGCCTTTGCCACAAACCAGGACATTAGCTTCTTTCCTGGTGGCTAAGGCTAATGGCTAGTGGGTAGGTTAGAAGGCAGCCACAAATTATCCTGGAACAGAAACAATAATTAATAATAATGCCTTAAGATATGAACCTTAGTGGGCAATAGAAGTGAAAGAACAGTGAAAGATTAAGAAAACAGAGAAGAACTGCAGGACGCACACTGATCAATCTCAGTTAATCCAACATAAACAGAGAAAAGCGTCCTAATTGAATCACTCCTATTTCTATTTTACATATTCAATTATAGTGACCCATATTAATGAAGAAGCTCGGTTATGAGTGACAGGCTCCTGCTATCAAATGCTGATAAATCAATACATTTAATGTATATCAGCTTTTCTTATCGTTCTCGGTCACTAATAATCGGCATCGGCTCGAAAAAGCCCATATATGTCGATCCCTAGACGGCATCCATCTATCATTCGTGAAAATGCATCACCTCTTTGCAAGACGGACAGACAAAAGCAAAGTCATTTGAAAGGCGGGAGTATCTTCCTTTCGAGACGCGAGATGAATTTGTGTTTGGCGAAGCAGCAAATCATCGGTAATCTCACTTTAAAGTTTGGCTCTCGATTCCAAGTGAGGGATCACATTCTCCCACATCAACAACCTATGCATCTGACATAAATGAATAAATCTGACGTTTATTTGCAGTTTCCTATATTGTGCAAATAGCAAAACATAGCATATATATATATATATATATATGCGTAAGCTGTCGAGAGTATTTTACCGAATCCGCCACCTGCACCGAGGATGTAATCACCCATGTGATATGGTAATGGCCAATCTCTCTGTCAGCGCAGATGTAGAGATGATAGCAGGTGGAAAGCCAAGAATAAGACAAGGAAGATCTTTGCATTTAAGGGGAGAAAAGACCCAAGTTTGAGAGGATGAGCGAGGCACAGGGATATAGATAACTCCCATTTCCCTCACTCTGGGGATCCATTACTATTTTCGCTTGGCTGTGAGCGAAAGGCGCGCAGCTTCAGAACCTAAAGGTAAGCTTTTAGAGCACGACCAAATGTCTCTAACAATGTGTTACAGTTAGAAAAATGAATAATTCAAAACGGTGTGCTTTTAGTTTGGTTCTGAGGAACAGATGGTCTCTCCCTCACTTTCACGCAAAAAAAAAAGAAAAGAAAATGAAATGGTCACTGTGCCACTGATTATTGTGCTGCCCTGTCTGAGGCATTATTTTCAGCACATAATCTAGTCTGCATGAAAATCCTCCATTATCATTGCAGAGGAGCAGTCAGGAGTAACCTAATGACACACATCCTGCTATTACATTATACTTAAATCAGAGGCATCAGGATAAACCCTCACTTTTCAGCTGTAAGCAGATTTATGTCTTTTCATGTGCTGATTTGATCCAGGAGTCGCCATCATGGCATAAACCTGAAGTAAACATCTAAAGAGCGATCTGAGCGCTCTCAGCTAACACCCCGGGGTCACAAGCCAGGACAGCTCAGAACACTAATGCAGGCTGTGCATGAATACTAATCGAGCCCTTAAAATGTGCCACGGCACCTCCACCGGGTCCTGATGTGGAAAAACACACTTTGTTTACCAAAAGAGAACACGTGTAAATCATGTCATGCTTGGCCTTGTGCGATAATCCTTTAAGATGCCATAATGTGCTTTCTTTTAGATTACATTTCATGGCATCTGCAACATATATGGAACCGCAGCGAGTACGTATTGACACGTTCAACTGTGTTTATCCACAGGAAAATGATTTTGATAAAGTGAGCCTCTGCAGCCCAGTGGTGTCCCGCTGGTGAACCACGTTTTTTAAAGCACGCAAAGGATTTCAAATCCCAGCTCATGTAATACAGTTACATCACTCCGAGCTGCCTTCCTCTTCAGTGATAACTGGATTTTATCACCCTCCCCAAAAAAATAAAATGCTGAGAGAGAGCTGACATCTTAGAAGAGTTCTCCTGCAGTTTAGTATTTCATTTCCACTGAGTTTGTATAGTTGGAAATACAGATTATGAAAAGAAAGGTCAAACCCGAAGCAATAAAGGCCAAATGCTCTCTAGTATTAAAACCGCGGCGCTGATAATGAACAACCCCTGACTTAAGCTCCGAAATCACTTAATCCAAAACTTCCCACTATGTTACTCAATAGCATCTTTTAATAGATCTTCGCTGCCTGCAAATACGCATCTTTCCAATTCGGCAGTTTGTACTGCAAGTTTTAAATGTGAATGTATTAAGAAGAACTGCGTACCAGATTACAATCACTGGAATGTGGATGCTTACTGTTGAATACACAGAAATATTTTTCGACTCTTCCTCCTGTGTGTTCATGCTGCTGCAATTTTGAGTGACGCATCAGAGTATAACCTGTTAATAGGTCAAGCTGGTAAAATGCATAACTCCTAGTGTGCAACAGGATAAAAATCAAATAATCACAGGTTTGTTTTTTTTTACACTTTTTATGTGTTATTGGATCATATGGATCTCACTTTGCAGGATTTGTGCTGCTCAATAAAATGCATTCACTGTATTAGAGCAGCGCCATTTCCAAATCATTTTTACTTTTTTGGGCCAATGTGTGTGTCAGGTGATGAATGTAACACAGTTTAGCCTCAAAAAACCCTGCCCAAAGCTGTTCCTGAGGGCTTGATTTTAAATTTGATGTCTGTATGCCTAAACCAAGATACCCCACATGACATCACCCTGACACCAAGAGACATCTTCTTGACTTAACCAAAACTCTCCAAAGTCATAAAAATCAAAAAGATGCAGCTGTTGTCAAAGGCTGAACGGTTCATCTGCCAAGTGAACTGATCATCATGTGTAAAATTAGTGGAAGGCCCCTTTAATTGTGGTTAATTTCTGCACTGGTTAAAAGCAAATCATTGGCACTAGATGAGATTAAATATTTGGATACATGGGCTCATTCGCCTCCTACTTCTGAAGCACATTTTTAACATATTGCAAAGAAAATCAAGTTTAAAATCTGTGTTTTAGGAACTTGGAGCACATTTATATTTTCATCACCAATACTGGACGATGAGGCTACGATTGTTAAACTAAATTTATCCACAACTAATCTTATTCATACAAGTTGTAAAAATGGATATTTTGGGATGCTTGAGGGCAGTGAAACAAGCTGCGAACACAACATTGGTATGTCATCACCTCAAAGCCGCTGTAGGACACAGTGACTGTCCACAGCAGATACAGAGCTGCATTTACATTTATCTAAAACTGCGTTTCAGCTCCAAGTGCAAGATGAACGCAAGTCCAACATTCGCTCTCCTTTTAGCTCCGTTTTTGATCTCCACCAACTCTGGAGGGAAATATCTGGCTCTTGAGCTCCAAGATGCTCCACTTTGTTCACCTGCCAGTCACTAACTGTGTCAGTCTGATGTTCGTTGCTGTGCGACTTTGCAATCAGGCCAGTTTTTTTTTTTTTTTTAGGCGGAAACAGCTGCTTAATGTGGCTGGAAACAAACGCTGATGAGGGCTGTAGTGTTAAATAATGGGCTGTAAACACTCTGTGGAGTTGAGGGGAGCCGTGAAGTTGGCTGATAATTCTCAGCAGATTTCTCTGTCATGCTACACACACATTATTTACATTAAAAAATGATCAGTGCAGCTTTAATGTTTGCTTTAATGTGATGCAAGAGGAACTCTCACTCCTCTGCTGGTTTTAGCAACCTTGTATGTCTGGAAATTTGTGACTTTAATGGATGCACACAAGGTCTGTTTTGCAAGGAATTCCTTTTAAAATTAAAGCTATGTCTCATACTGGCATTGATTTTTCAGATCAGCTCCTGTTTATGGCCCCCAGACTCCTCTTAATATGGGGAAATGACTTAATATTTACTTACAGGAATGCAGACTATCTCAGTGGTTACCTCATCATTCCAACCAACCAATAAAACCATTTCTCTTCCATTAACAATGCCATCAGCCACTAACAATGGACGATATTATTCCTTTTGTTATACACATCTATAGGAGCTGCAGTTGTGGTTCCTGGTTAGCAATGTTCAGCTGTCTTTGTGCCACATGTGTCGTAAATACTGCGAAGTCCTTGCAGCTTTCAATGGCACGAATGTCACCGTGACAAATTTTTGTGCGTTTGAGATGAAATTGAAAGTATCAAAAGTCTTTTTAATCTGTCTAAATATGCAGACACATTCCACCTGAGAGGAAAAAAAGGTGTGGAGACATTTATGTTGCTGTGATAGGCAGCATTGGAATTATTAATAAGGGGCCAATGGGTGCCTATGCCAGCTACACGTATCATGCAACCGAGTCAACGTGGCACCATGCTGATGTACAACAGAGAAAATAGTCTTATCAAAGAGGGAACAGCAAACAGCTTCAGGTGGCCGAAGTGACAAGCGGCAACGTGCTCCGGTGACAAGTGTGCAATCAGTGAAAAGTCTACGCTACTTTGGGCATGACAGCAACACATTTACTTTGTGAGAAACAATATTTTCAGAGTAATGTTCGCTTCATGACAGGAAGATTGTGGTGCAGTGGTTGAAAGCACCTTTCAGTGAAAAGAAACTCTGTCAGACACGTTTGTGACATGGAAAAATAAATGTCACGGGCAATAATGGGGGACCTCTGCGAAGGTATGTTTTCGGTTGGATCATAAACACGGCCCATTAGAGCCCGCAGTGGGTCCACAGAGATATCCGAGTGCATATGGGAATTTGGAGTGTGACTTGATTTGTGTGAAAAATTTTAATCTGGGGCATTCTGGTGTGAAATGACTTTCAAATTTACAAGGGATGAACAAGTGGGGAAGGGCATCGGCTAACCATGCAGCAGAGTTTCGGAGCAAAT